GTGGTCACAAACATGACGGTTGAAGCATGTCTAGATAAAGACAGGCAGCTTTCCTCTGCAGTAAGCAGTAGGTGGTGTGAACTTTAACAAGAATCAAACCATAATCAACTCTTGCAGCATTTCTGTTTCCATTGTGGTTCAAGATCTGCACCAAAACACCTACAAATCGTATTTCCTGGATGTAACTCCAGTTTTATGAGCGTTTTAATGTAAGCCCATGTAAGGCTGCTATTCAACATGGACATCGAAAGAGTTGCTTGGTGTCCAAGTTCAACCAATCAGCATTTATCTTTGCATTTAGCTTTGAGACCCTGAAAGCATTTTTTTTGGGCATTTTCAGGTAGGAGTTGGTACATTATTCTTCCTGAAAAGTGGCCTTTTCACAGGATCCAAGGTTCAGGCTGCCTCATGTACATTCAACAATTTCCCTGAGGTACCCTACCAAAGGGATCAATGAAGTTATATCTAATCTAATGTGGATGACTGTTAGTCTCCTTATCCTAAACTCAGCCTTGCTTTCTTGTTGTTTTAACCACCAATATTCCCCCAACAACTAACAAAATAGCTTCTGTTGGCAAATCTAATTTAAAAACTATGGTTCTTGTCCCTTTTTCAAGCATTAAAGTATCAGCAAGCACCATATTGGGTTGTTGGTGCTGGAAAATCTGAGGAATTGATGCCTATGTTTTGACAACTGTGTTCAAAATGTTATTGAAATCCGGTGAGTAATTAGATGCACCAAAAATATAGACCAAGCAAGGTTAAGTTATTTGGTATAAGTTAACTCACTTTTTTGGTAAACGTGACACCGTAGTGATGCTCCAAATGAGGCAGTAAAATGAACCCAATAGTTCCCATTTCAACAGAATTGTTTGCCTCATCAAGGTGAATCAGAAACTCTGGGCTACTTCCAACACGTTTAAATATATTTGCTAAAGGCAGCAGAAGCCTCACGCGACCGTCTCCTCCTGAACCCGCCTGAACTCAGGATTCACATGAGCAGCGTGTTGTACAGTACAGGCATGTAGAAACACTTCACCACCAGCCCGCCGCGTCCTCGTCTCCTCCCAGAACGAGTCCAAACTGAGCGTGCTCGGGCTCGCGGGGGCAAAAATAATAACATTAAAAATCATCAGCTCAGAGCTAATCCCACCGCGGCCTGTAAACATTTTAATACCGCAGTGATTAGCAGTGATCCCAGACCCCAGACAGCCACCCGGGCTCCTCTCCCACCCCAGCCTCGGCTCTCCGTCCCCGGGGGAGGCGGCCAGGCGAGTCCCTGGATTAAGGCCACACGGTGCTTTGGACCCTGGAGCCCCCTGAAAGTTAAACCCCTGGACGCTCGCCACTTCATTTCTCTAAGTGGCATCGGCCTTCTTGTTATGATTGTTAATTAAAGTTGGATTTATTCAAGTGGCTTTTTGGCAATAACTGGAAAAAGCTGACATTTTCTGCTCTCGCTCTCGCTCTCTGTTTTTTTTTTTTTTTGGTGTGTGAGTCGAGTGGATTGTTGAATTTTGGGAGTTTTCCGTGTCTGCTTATCCGCCTATCCGCCGTTTATTTCTGTGTGAGAATGTGGGATGCTGTGTTTTTTGGGGGGAGGATTTTTTTTCAGATGAGCGAGCAGATGTTGCAGTTTCTCAAGAGGGATTTATGTCAGGATAGGAACACACACACACACACACACACACACACACACACACACGGGCTTCATGTCATTATGCATGCATTTCATCAGTCAACAGCATCTATACAGTGCAGAGACGGCAGACAGAGACGGAGAGGAAACACGCTATTAACGTGACACGTTGGAGAAATCATTTAAAGTTGAAATTAAAGTGATGGAAGGCTGTCTTTGAGTCTAATTGCTCTTGAGAGATTTAGTCAGTGTTTGTGCAAACAGAAACTGCTTTCTAGATGATGTTTCATCTGGAAAAAACTCAACTTTAGCGTTTAACGTTGGCTAAATAAACCGACATTTCTGTCCTTAAGCCTCCGTTGCACCGTGGTTTACATGTCAAAGGTCAATATTTCAATGACTTTAAACTCCTTTTTGACTCCTGTGCACAGTCTGACTCACAAAAATATGTTTATTTGTGAGACTTCAGTGCTATACCTTCATGAGACAAACGGTGACAAGCGTCTTAAACATAGATAAACCCTGTGTCCATTTATATACGTTGCCACTGCATGGATTTCTGCAGGTCTTGATGCTGACAGCATTTGTATATTCTACTGGGGGAGTTCTTAAGTAAATGTATTACTGATGTTAACCTTTCCGATATGCTTTGTTAAACGTTATCTGCATAATATGCAGATTTTGCTCATTGCACTCGCCTCTGGAGGCCTGAAGGATCTATTTACACAGACGCACTTAATTTAATGTGCACAGTCCTGACAGGGTAGAGAAAAATGTGATGATTATTTTTAATATACATATGTATTGTTTGCAGATTTGAGTTTTATGAGTGTTTATTCATGTTTTTTTTTTTCACTTGGCACGTGAATGCGTCCCTGCAGGTTCAGCTGCACACATGGTCTCTGCAAGGTTCTGGGGTACATTCATGATGGGTTTTCTAACTTTCTGTATGTTATTGGAAGTCATAAATCAGTAGTATGATAATTTAGGATTCACCTTTTTCCTAAAGTACGTGAGGAGTGTGATTGGTTACAGAGTTACAGCCACTTCAAAATGACTTCTCTTTGCGGTAAACTGTTTGCTTGATGAAGCTCGAGTTGAGAAATGTCTTGAATGAAGGTATTTTTGCAAGTTAAACATAATTCACACTTATGGATATGCTTGTCCCTCTCCTGAGCATCCGTCTTATGAAATTGATGTTGGAAGAGCGACTTTTATTTATTACAATGATAAAACAAGAAGCTTCTCATTTCTTTTTTTCTGACGTGGCAGTCGACAGTGTGCACAAACTGGTTCACAGTGTTTAAATGTAGCCAGGTATGGAGATATCAGTATAACTGAACACTAATTATCCAAAACACGATGGGCACCACTACCTAAACCAATGTAGGTCCTTTGAATGCTGTTAAAACGGTCATCTGACAAGCAAACCTGGTTTTGCCACATCCTGTCAACTACATGTCTGACAGCTTAACAAACTCCATCCCAGTATATGAACCCAGAAGTATTAGCGATAGCTGCCGTAGCATAAGCTGTATTCAGTTTGTTTTCTGCCACATCAGCCTGATGAGGTTCATCTGCTGCCCAGACGCTTTGCGTAACTTTCTTTGGGGGGATCTGTTGTTGTGTTCGCCTCTTTCAGCATTCACCCAATTCCTCGTCCTCCAAATCGACAACTCGTTCTCTCAAAGACGAGGCCGATGCGACCTGGAGGTCCGTTCAGAAGAGGCCTGTCGGCCTGACCTGCGGTTCTAACCTGCAGCGAGCCACCAGCGTCAAAGACCTGATCGGTAAATTCACTGATCCGGATCTCGTCTCGCCTCCCGGTTCGCCGCTGAGCCCTACTCCGTCTCCACGGGGACGACTCACGAAGGCTTTTTCCATTGAGGTTCTGTCGCCTCCGCCGTCGACCCCGACCACACCGAGCAGCACCGGACAACTGCAGAGTCCGCCTCCCAGCATCACCGTGACGCCGCCGCTCAAACAGGTTTTAGCTGCCCAGACAGACACCAAGAGTAGTCAGATAACGGCAAGAATCGATTGTCCAGTAGGGGGCAGCACCAAGAAGACGGACTCAGAGCCACAGAGCAAAACTCAAACCACGAAGTCTGGTAGAGAATCAGCGGCTGATTCCGGCATGGGATCGGTAAGAAAGGATGACCGAGCATGAAACGAAAAGCTCTTCATGTTCTCGATGGGGGAACGCGGTTTCTTGCATGATTTAAGCAGCGAACTCGATCCACACCACGCCTCGGAAAAGCATGAAGCCGCAACAAAATTTCACAGCGCATCTTCTTCAATCGCACGAATCAAAATGGCCTCAAACGCACACGACAAATCCAACAATCAAACTCTTTACCTTGATTCTCTTGCTGGAAATTACGTTCGCAGTGTTGTCTTTGGTCTGAAATATCAACCTCACGATGACGGTGTTGATTTTTACTGCATGGAAAATGACAATCAGAGGAAGGTGTCGCACATATTTGTTTGCTTGAGTTTCTGTTTTTCTGTTTGATGCTCGGCTTTTGCTAAACAGGAGTTTTGGCGTTTTGTTTGCAAAGGTGGGATGAAGTTATTGCAGAAGAAGGAACAAGAAGTCGAACTCCAAACAAATCGCTCACTCGATCAGCCGAATGAAGTCATGTGATTTTAGTGCACGCCCATCGTAAAAATAAAAATGTTTTTCTCAGTTTATTCCCAAACGTTTCTGCTGTTTTTCCCTTCATCAAATTTAGCACTTATATGAGCAGTTTAGTTAAACATCTCCAAGTATTTGAGGATCCACCAATCAACTGTAAACAACGTTAGCATCTAGCTGCAGCATCTTGGTGGTGGAGACCAAACCAGAGCTACAATGAGTGAAACAGTTGAACTTGGAGCTGTTTTCCAACATGATTTTGTCTTTGTTAACTCTTTGTGAAGTTCTTCTGCCCCCTAGTTGTCAGAAAAGGGCATTAAATGCAGATTTAAAGAAACCCCAGTTACCACCTGGATGAAGACACTCCAGCGGTTCATATTTGGGAATAAACTGCGTAAAGTTGGTGAAGTCTGTCAAGTTGATTTTCATTTATTTATGGTTTTCATGTTGAAATCAGTTACCTTCTCTTTCATGTAAGTTTTTCTTCTGATTTCTGTATTTTGCCGTCTAAATGTGCCATTTATTAATTTCCTTTCTGCTGTCAATCACTGACAACATGCTCAGCTAATTCATCCTTCATCCGTCGCTGCTGTGCGACTGGGTCTCTGACTGTACTCATGAGTGTGTTTCTGAGTGATTTCACCCCTCCAGCAGCTTTACGCTTGTGTTCCATGTGGGTTTAACTCATCCCTCCTCTCCCACCTTCTACCTTTTCTGCTGCAGGAGTCAGAGTTCGATTCGAACAAGCATCCAGACAGTCCGTCGGAGGAAGAGCCCTCCACGCCCAAAGTCACGTCCGCCAGCCAGAATCCCAGATACCAGCTGTTCCTCAACAACGAGCTGAAGACCAACGGGCTGAGCGGCAGGGATGCAGACAGTCCGGGAGGCGGCGGCGGGTCGGTCGGGGAGAACGGGCCCAGGCTGGCCCGGTGGGAGACGGCCCGGCTGGGGACGAACCACTACAAAGGCTCCCTGGAGTCTCTGACCTCCCGGGACTGGGACTCCATGTCGGACAAGGTGGGCGAGCCGGAGCAGTAGGTCTCTGTTTGTGTTCTCACAGGGATTAAAGACGGTTTGGAGGGTGATGCAGATGCTGCTTTAGGAGAAGCACAGAAACAGAACCGGTTATTAAACAGTGCCATCTCCTGGACAAAAGCATCCCGTTGAAACCTCAGAGTAGATCCTAGACGGGCTGAAATCATCTCAACACATGCAGAATTATCAACAAAAAAAAAGGAATTTATGGACTCATTTTTATCTAAAACTACAGGACTTTTAAATGCTCTTGCAAATCTTGTGTCATGCTTACATTTCGCTCCTTTACCTCGTGTTTAGATGTCGTTATTGTGCCATCTCCAGTACAAAAGTCAGCTTCAAAGCGTGTTATTGACTCTGAACCATATTGAAACCTCAAAGTAGATCCTAAACAGTCTGAAATCATCTCAACACATGCAGAATTATTTTTTTAAAACGGAATTTTTGGAGTCATTTTTACCCAAAGCTGCTTAAATTGGCAATTAGGTTTTTTTTTACATGCTGTCTCAAGCTTAGTTTAATGGCTATATTTCTCTTGTCTTGTCTTTTACCCTGTTTTTAGATTTTTAGATGCCAATATTGTGCAGCGTCTTATTTCCTGAATCAGGAGAAAGCAAAATGTGCTGGTGCATGAATATGTAAAGTGCCATTTTCCTGTATTTTAATCCGAATCTCTTTTAAAAATGCAGATATCTGGGAATCTAGAAAAGCCCTTAAGTTGAATTATATTGTAAACAGGCTGGAATCATTTTGACGCATGTGCAGAATTATTTACAAAAAGCAATTTTTGGACAGATTCTTTCTTAAAACTGCTCTGCAAAGTGGCAGTTCTTTTATATGCTGATGCAAACTTTGTGTTTTGCTCATATTTGTCTCTTTTATCCAGCTTTAGATGCCAATAATGTGCCATCACCTGGACAAAAAGTCAGCTTTAAACCATTTTATTGGCTCTGAATATTATTTAAACCAAAAACGTCTTCATTTCCTAAATTAGGGGGAAAAATCTGCAGGTGCATTGAAAGTGAAAGTGCCATTTTTCTGTATTTTATTCCAAATGCAGATACTTTTAGGAAGTTAATCTATCTCTTAACAGGCTGAACTCCTCAATGCATGAGCAGAAATATTTTAAAAATGGAGTTTTGAAGTCATTTTTACCTGAAACTAATTCAATGAAAACGCAGAAAAATAAGTGAAACTGTTTCCAACAAATGACTCACTCTTTGGTTTATTATCTTTTGTAAATCTTTACAACCTTCGGCTCATGAAGTGATAACTGTCTTATGCAGAATTCATTTTTTTTTCCTTTCCAGTTTATGAGAAAGGCCCACACCTGGACTAAATGCAGATTTAAGGTTTCTCATTGTCCAAACGTTCAATCAACGTTTCAGAGTTTGTCAACAATCAGACCTAATCAGCTGTTTCATGCCTGTGATTCCTCTGCACGATGATAGAAAACCATGCAGACATGTCACGGTAAACGATGCAGATACTCGTGTTTACTGTGATATATCTGCTGTCAATGTCTCACTCAATAATAATTATCAACACGTAATGATTCGTCATTTGTGACGCCGCCACCCTGTTAAAGTAATAAATGTCTTATTTCTTCTAGCAGTAGTTTAAGCTACTGCACTTGATTTCATACATATATATGAAAGCCTGTGTGTTTTATTTGTGGTCTAATTTATTACTTTAAAAGGGTTTTATTTAAATTATTCAGCTGAATTTCACAACAGGAGTGAGACCGAATCTTATTGATGCCAACGGACAATCGTGGCAACACAACTTCAGTCTGTTGTCTTCATTTCTTTTCTCTTCTCTCCTTCTGTTCTTGATTGAAGCTTTATTAATGTGATGTTGTTGTTTGTGTGCGTGCAGTTGGGAACCACCGACAGTCCGCCCAGAGTGTTCAACAGTCCGTACGCCACAGCCACCTCCATGGAGTACAACCCCATGCACCGCATGTCCGAGTTCAAGGTTCGTCCGACCGTTTCCTGTTCATTTCTTTATGAACAAATTCTGCTCAACCATCTTGGATTCGCCAGAAAATTTTACAGCACAAGTTCTAGATATTTATGCAGACATTTCCTAAAATCCAGCCTCATATGTCAAATACTCTCCACAATAAACATTTCAAAAAGTTTCCCATCGACCTGCTTCAGCAGCTTTTTTTCTTTTGTATGTTGAAATTAGTTTAAACGACAACATCTGAGGAACTATTAACAATAAAAACAATAAGATTTTCACTCTTATATCTGACCATGTTGTAACTGAGAATCTACAGTAGATCGGTTGTGTACTCTTTTTCTCAAGCCGACAAAGTGGATCCAAAAATGAGAAGTATTCCCATTTTATAAAAGCGAAACTTCGACTATCTGCCGATGTTTTTGTGCAGCAACTTGTCAAACCTGCTCTATGAAGGTTCAACAAAAATAACGTAGTCTGTGTTTAGTTTTGTGTTATTGTGACCTGCAGCAAAGACTGGATTTGATCTACTTCTCCAGTATTGTACGTTCTGAATTAACGACATGATGAGAAGTAACAGTGAGAATTTCAGGTTTTTATCTTTAATAGCTCCTGAGATGTTGTTGTTCAAACACAGCTGACAGTGGGATGTAGTTATCTCACATTGTGTTTGATATATTAACCCAAAAATTCACAGATACAAGTTTAGATATTCATAGTTTATGATGGAAAAGCTTCACGCAAATCAGAGATGGCCGAGCAGAAGAACTCTGATGATTTGAGATGGAACAACCCCGTTTTATTTTTATTTAGAATCTAACAGAAATACTTAATTGATCCCTAAAAGTGTAAATTCTGTTGTTACTGTAGTAAGCAGGAAACCAGTGTTTTCTCTCATTTTGCAATAACAATCAAGGAAACACGTCTGTGGCTGCTCAGCTGCTGTTTTACGTAGAATCTTGAGTCAGAGCAGCTTTCTGAGTCTCTTCCTCTTCGCCTCCGTGTTCAGGGTGGACTTTCTCCGGCCACCTCCGAGATGAACCTGTACGGCTTCAACAGTCGCAGCACCAGTCCGGTCCCGGGCACCAACCTCACCAACCTCACCAACCTCGCCTCCCGCCCCCGGTTCTCCGCCTACGACACCCTGGTGAGGAGGAGGGCGGAGGCCAACAGCACCGTACGTACACCGACACATCTACACCCGCGTGCGACTCACGATGAACCGCCGCTGCGTTATCTAACCTGTTTTTCTGTCGGCATTGTGTTGCCGCTGCAGGTGGTGCCCACCCACTACAGCATGCGCTCCGCCACTCTGGGGGCGCCCAATAGGAAGGACTACATCGAGGAGCTGACCAAACAGCTGGACGTCTGCCAGAAGGTACGACTCTGAGTTCACGGTGGGATTCAAACACATGTGGAGGTTGGTGGTTTGTACGATCAGCAGATGGACGCCACGGAGAAAGTCCAAGAGGTCTAACAGAAGTAATAAATACTCACAGTTTGGCTTCATGGCCGTGAATTCATATAATATTTGCACTGCGCCCCCTGGTGTTCAATGTGAGGAAATGGATGGAAACTTCACCACAGCCTCAGTTTTTACAAGAGGAGGCTAAAAGGTTTGTGGAACGGGGTAGTCAGCCGAGTCTCAGACAGGATTTCTTCACATATCTAGACCACCAGCATCTTGTGAGTTCAAACACATCAAGTTTATTCGTCACAACATATTTGTGTGATCCTCGGATACGTTCTAAGTTGATGACCATCAAGCAGAGATGGAAAACCAACATTTTGAGTGAAGGGCGGCAATAAAGTTCCCCATAAAAGGCTGGCTGAGGTATACGGTGGTACTAGTCCAGCCTGCAGCCCAGATCTGGCCCCCAGTCATTATTATATGCGTAGAAATTTGAAATCACATTTGTGTGGAACCAGATTTCCTGATGATGATGAGCTCAAGGCTTCCACAGAGGCTTGGTTTGAGAACCAAAGTCAAGACTTCTGTTTTAAAGCCATAGTCAGACGGGTGCATTGAGGTAAATAAGGGACTATATTGAAAACGAATAGTACATTGCATGGTCTGCTGCTGCAATGTTCACCTCGTTATGTGAACTTTCTGATCTGCCTTCGTGCCCAATAATGTGCAAGAAGCATAACAGCGTTCAGTGAAATGCTGTCACACAGCTAGCATGTGCTAAACTGGCAAAATAAGTTTCTAATTACTCATTCACACAATTAGACTGTAAGTTAATTCATTTTTCCAACCACAAAAGTTTGAATATTTCGATGTAGTCCAGAGAAATCACAAGGATGAGTTTTGCAAACAAACTGCTCGCTGCTCTTTGTAGCAACAATTTTTCACACTTGTTGAACAAACAACGTAAACTTGCAGAAATGCAGCGTCTTCAGTCGAGACCGTCAGTCTTTCTTGACCTGAAGAGCTGGATATATCTCTATAACAGTCTGTGTATCAGCAGAAACCCTCAAGAGTTTCAAGTTCGATTGATGTCATTGGGTTTCTTGTCATATCAGGCTTGGAATTCCATGATATTTGGGTTGTAGGAGTCTTGAGTCAAGAGATTTTGGGATTTGAACCAATGTGGTCGCAGTTTTAGGCAAAATATATATATATTTACGATGGTGTTGTTTTCTCTACAGCGCAACCAGTTCCTGGAGGCAGAAAGCGTGGAGATGGAGAAGGAGAGGAACCAGATCAGGTCAGATATGGGTTTTATCCTCATCAGTAGGGTTGAGTGTAGCATACGGATGCTGTTAGCTTGATGCTAAGTTGTTGTTGTTTACTTACAAAGTCGGACTTGGTTCTGACATTTCTGGTTGTAAAGTGTGACTTCTTGTCCTCGCTCCACGTCTTCTGCACTGCCACATGTTTTAAAGTCCCCTTTTTAAGGCTTGACAGTCTGTTGGGTATCTTCTGGTGAAGGTTCGAGATGCGAGGCCTGCTGGTGAACAACGAGGACCTCCTGAGGACCAACGCTCAGCTGAACAACGAGATGAAGAGGCTGAGAGAGCAGATGATCGAGATGGAGAGAGAGAGCCAGGCCATGGGGGAGAAGTACAGAGAGATGGAGGTGGGACGAACGAACTGACATGAACAGAAATGTTTAGTGTCTTTAAAACCCGTCTACAGGGTTTAACTCTGGTGTGGCTCTGTGCAGATCGAGGTGAAACAGGCCCGAGACATGATGGTGGAGGCCAACACTCAGGAATACGCCTTCAACTATCTCCAGCAGTCACTGAAGAACAAGATCCAGGATGCAGAGGTACACTGGGTTACAACAGTCAGCTTTTGAATAGCTTTTCCTTCCTGCAACGAGTCATTGCTGTCATTTAAGTTCTATAAATATGGAACATAAACTACAATCTACTACAACACAGACGTGAAACTAACTCATCAGCATCTTTCCTGCTTTTATTTGCCAGTGAGGAAATGCAGAACCTTCTTTATTGAGGATTTCCACCTATAAGACGCATGTTTTGTACTTTATTTATGTGTTTGCGTGTGTTTGGTGTTCAGGAAAACCTGGACAAGCAGACGCAGCACGCCAACAGTCTGGCAGAGAAACTGTGGCGGGCGGAGAGACAGCTGGAGGAGCTGGAGGTGGACAAAGGCACCAAAGACAAGAGGTCGTCCGAGCTGAGCAACACCATCATCAGCCTGGAGTTGGAGGTTAGGCTTCAGCTCGTCTTGTTGAGTTGATTAGAAAAAACACATAGAACTTCTGAGGAGTTCCACTGAAGCACTGTGTGAACCTTTAACATGAAACAAAAGTCAACTTTCAGGAAGAGAAGCGACGTTTGGAGAGATTTCTGCAGGTTTAGTGAACCTGCTGTGCTGCAACTAAAACATTCTGCAGTTTGCACGAATAGAAAACTGGATTTAACTAATTAAAAGTATACCAGTGGTCATGTTTCTAGATGCCACATGCTTTCTAAGAATCTCTTTGGTGTATTTTAGGTGCAAAAAAACCCTAAATTTAGAGATCATTGTTTCATTTCAATGTTCATTTTCAGCCAGACAACCAGATAAAAACCAATAATGTGGCATTTCTTTTTCATATCAAGACTATAATGATGTAAAATTACAAAATATGAAAGTCTGCGTATGGATTCATCTGCATGAGAGGGTCCAGGAAATAAAACTACTGAATACGAGCTCATATTTCACTTTATTTAGTCCAATGATTTTGCTGCAGTCATTGTTTTGTTCTATCTTTGCAGCCTTTAGACAGTTAGCATCATGCTAACTCGCTCGTTTGCAAAATTAGAACTACAAATATGTCCGAATAGATTGTAGTCCTTGAAAAGAGTTGAATAAAGTCCCAAGCTATCATGTAAAGTGAATGTTTCCCTCTGTAATAACTTCCTCTTTGTGTTGCTTCCAGCTGAGTGAAGCCATACAAGCCTCCACGCAGGCCACCGCCGAGCTCAGCCTGCAGCAGAAGCTGCGAGACGACGCCCAGCTGAGGGTGGAGGAGCTGGAGGAGGCTCTGCTGGAGAAGGACCAGGAGCTGCAGAAGCTGCAGACCACCATCAGCAGGCTGCAGGGAGAGGTACGGCTCCGCTAGCGCCACCTTCAGTTCACATAGATAGCAACAGGCTGGGTTTAATGACAACCGCAGCCTTCACAACCAGCAGGGAACGTTAAATTAACTGTTCAAGAATGTTTTAATCTCAACAAATGTTCCTATAACGCTAATATAACGTTTTAATATTCCAGTTCAGAGGATGTTGTCAAGAATGCAGATCACCTTCTATAATAACGAAGGAGGAACGTTCTCAAACCAACGTTCAAAAAATGTTTTCCGGGTGTTTAGAGAAAAACGTTCCTGTAAAGCGACATATTAACAAAGGTGGAACATTCCTGCTGCAATGGATGTTGTTGAGGGAACACATTAGAGAACGTTCTTCTATGAAATGTTTCCACAACAAGAAAGAATGTTCTCAGTGCAACATCTGGAAAACGTTTTCGAGATGCTATCGAGACGTCAGACGACAGAACGTTCTTTATGAGACGTTCCTGTCATGTGACATATTAACAAAAGGCCTTTTTGGTGAAGGAACACGTTAGAGAACGTTATTCTTTGAAACGTTCCCACAATGAAAACGAAAGAAGGACGTTCTCAATGCAACACTCAGGAAACATTCTCAAGATGTTGTTCAGACCTCAGATGACAGATGAGAACACGTTCCTGTAACAGCTTAGCTCAGGTGGAACATTCTGCCTGTGATGTTCTGAGGACGTTGTTGAGGGAACGTATTGCAGAATCTATGAAACGTTCCCACAATGTTCCCTGATAACAAAGAAAGAACTCTTAGTGTAGCAGCTTTTGGGAACATTAGGGGTGAAACTTTGTTGTTGCAGAACATTTTTAGAACATTGTGGGGAACAAAACATCAGTAGAACGTTGTTGGGATATTAAGTCCAGCCAGGTTCGTCTTCAGAACGTGTCCTTCGTGTGTTTTTGCGCAGGTCTCCGGGAGGCTGATCGACACCGAGCGGACGCTGGAGGACGAGATCCAGATGCGGGAGCGGCTGCAGCTGCAGTGCAAGCAGGCGGAGAGGACGGTGGACGACCTGACCATGGAGCTGCAGACCAGCAACCAGGCCAAGGAGGACCTGACCAAGCAGCTCAAACAGGCCCAGGTGCTGCTTCTAAAGTTCTTCACATGATAAAATAGACTTTATACGGTTAACTGGTCCAAATGAAACAAACTCACATCGTCCTGCTTCAACTCACAAACTCGTCTCGTTAACTCGTTGAACATTCACAGAGAAGAGTTTGCTGCTAGCTGGTAATTTATGAAACCAAAAATCCAATTAAGGAAAAAACACAAGTTTAATAAAAGAAAGTAGAGCGTAAAACCATGAAAGCAAATCAATCTATAAAGGGTTAAAGAGAGTAAAACAAACTAAAAAAGTCAATAAAAGTGCTGAAACTTAACATTTTAAAAACAGTTTCCTGCAGTTTTGGATTTCTGAAACTTTTCCAGACAGATTTTTGGTGTTTTTTACCTTTTATGTTACATTCTGACTCTTTTATAAATCACATGGTCCATTTTTACTGCTTCCAAGAGTTTATTTGTTCAGTTGCTGCCTCATAAAATTGGTTTTAATAAGATAATTAATGCTGTTCTGGTCTGATTAGTGTTTATCAGACTGTGGTTTTGGTCTCTTCTTGTTACTTGTTGAAGGTTAAATTAATACAAACACGTGTATAATATTATAAAAGACAACTGCAGCTAAATAAACACTTTTTTTTTTATCTGGGCTGATTTCTTTTTAAAACCTGCTCACATTTGGTTCATTTCCTGCACGTTTGACGGCACAGCCTCCGCAGCGACCTGATGACTCAAACAGAGATGTCCACTTGAATTAATCAGACTTTGGGGTTAATTAGGGATTAATTATGCAAATCCCGCGTAGCAATCAGCGCGTTGACGCTATTATCCCAAATATACATCGTTTCTGAAGATCCCTAACGTGTCCTGCTTTTCTAAATAAGCCTCGTTTGATCAGGACGCTTTTGTCTCATCTGTCGGCTCTTGTTGTTGTTGTTTTTCTTCGTTCAGGAGAAGATGATCGACCTGGAGAGCGACCTGGAGGAGCTGCACGACAGCGAGCAGAGGTGGGCGGCCAAGCACAAGAGATCCATCGAACAGGTAACGAACGCCGCGGACGCTTCATCACCAACTTGTCGTGTAGATTCCTTTAGTTTTATTTGGTTTAATGACACATTTTTCCCTGTTTGGCGTCAGACCGAGCAGCTGCAGCTGAAGGTGATTCAGGAGAAAGATCTGAACGACCAGCTGGAGATGGAGAAGGTCTCCATGGAGAGACAGGTAACCTCCAGTTCAAGTTCAACAGTCGATGTTTAAGAGTTTAATATTTGATGTTTTCTGGCATAAAGACTGACAAACATTTTTGAAAATCACAGCTGCAACAAATGAGCCCTTTTCATTTTGCTTTTTGAGCAAATTATTATTTTGCTTTTTTTTTTTTTTAAATCAAAAAGTGAAAAAAAATTCGATTTCATTGTAATATTTGCACTATTTTTACTGTATTGAAATCAGCAAACAATACCATTATTTTACCCTTTTTTTTCTTTTTTTTTTTTTTACAAATAAACATAAATTATTTTGTTAATAATTTTTATTTTACGCGCTTTCCTTGTTTTGTTAAATTACAGATAATATCTTTCAAAAACACACAACAATGTATCAGCTTTGAAAACAAACAGGCCAATAGTTTAGATGATGTTGACGTTTAGTCTGTATTATTATAAATAGTAATTTCAATTAAATCAGAGTTTAGTGTCTTTAAATAAAGTTATTTTGCAGATAGTTGAGGTAGTTTTTCCAGTTTTTAGATGATAAATTAATCCACTGTTTTTATTTCTTCCTGGCACTCTTGTTGCAAGATTTTCAGATGTTTTTTGACGGGTTGATTTTGCACCATTTTGCAGAATTTTCTCGCTTACAGTCCAACATATCTCCACAGTTACATCTGTGAGAAGTCGGTAATATTAACTGTAATGTTGGTTATGTTTTAGTCAGACTGTAATGATCACACTGAGACACGCTCGCTGTGTTAACACTGACTAAAGAACGTTATTGCAAAACTGAACACACAAGTGAGCAAATAATCAACAATGCAGGACCAAAAGAAAAGCGAATCAAGTGCTTTTAGTCTTTAACAGAGGTTCTTTGTGTTTGTGCAGATGCGTGAGCTGCGTCTGGAGGTGGACGAGCTGCAGAGCTCCAGAGTTCAGGAGGACGTCATCTCCAGGACGGAGAGCAGACTGAAGGAGCTGGAGAACGTCCTGAGGACCGAGGAGAGGTCAGTCAGCAAACCGGTCAACAGACGAAGCACACATGTCTAAAGCCGTCCTGGTTTCATCATGTTTAAAGGATCTTAAGAGTGTTTTAGCATCAGATCCTGTTTGATTTATATCCTAACTGATCATTTTCAGATGCTGCTCTACTGGAGATGTTAGACTTTTGAATCCTGTCTTTCCAAAACAACCATCAGCTTCCACTTAGTTCTGCTTAAACAGGGTTGGAGCATCTAGAGAGTAAAGTTCCAAACATGCACACCAGCTAGCTGTGACCTACATGTGTTTGCAAATGTGGTTTTGCAGGAGCATGCAGACTGAGTGTTGTGGTGCCTGAAAGTCTGGCTGATTTCTGTGTGTGTGTGTTCTTGTGCAGAAACAAGATGACTCTGACCAACACCATCGGTAAGCTGGAGAGGAGGATCAACGAGCTGACGGACCAGATGGAGGAGGAGCACCGGATAGCCACGGAGCAGAAAGACCTGGTAACGCAAAGCAACACTTTACAGCCACATGAGGGCAGCAGAGCTCCGTAGGAAAACAACACAACTCTGTCCTGAAGGCAACACACAAGCTTCATACGAGTCAAACACACCGAGTGGTCTGAATGAAATGAATCGGTTCATTAAAGAAGCTAAAGTTTACTTCAGATGTTTGTGTATTTGGAGGTTGGGTTGTATTTTATAGTCTTTTAAACATCTTCTTTTTGGAACAGACGTATGTTCTCACAACCAGGTTTCATTACCCTTTATAGAATCTTCAACTTTGTGTTTAGAAACGTCCAGATTTAATTTAACAAACGACTTCAAAGATTTTTCCAGATTTTTAGTGATCAGAAAAAACACACATGAGCAGATTATTATTATTATTATTTTGTCTAAAGACCAGTTAAACGGCACAAAAGATCAAGTTTATCGTAGAAATCTTGATGCATAAGAATGCAACTGTAGTACAAAGTGAAAGTGAAAGTAAAAATGATCTAAGTGTAGCAGCTGTGCAGCCGCTTATGAGCATCACGTAGATCATAAAGGACAGAGTTTGTGTCTTTTCTTCATGGAGGCGACGTACAAAAGTCAAAACAGGAGCTGAAGTTTGTTGCTTCCAGCTGTTCAGGAGTCTTTCCTCTGAGTTTAAGCAAACATTTATGATATCAAAGCCAAAGAGAAAAGCCGTTCTCGCTAACCGGGAGCTCTGTGATCGGTTCTCCAGATGACCCAGAGGATCCGCACCCTGAAGCGGCAGGTGAACGAGGCCGAGGAGGAGGCGAGCAGGAAGGAGGCTCAGTACCGCCACACCAACCGAGAGCTGGTCGAGGAGAGGGAGACCAACAGCCGGCTGCAGAGGCAGCTGCTGGACCAGCACCTGCAGAACAAGTACGAGCTGCACCCACACTTAGTCTGAAGATCGCTTTAGCTGCTCGTCACCAGTTCACCCAAACACACGGCTGTTACGCCTACAAGACCTTCTAGCACATCCCTTTCTAAATCCACAGCCCACAACAACTTCCACTCACAAGATTTTAGAGTTTGTTTGTGGAATTTTCTGCCAATTCATCCATAAAAGTGTTTTAATGTTGGAGGAGGAGGTCTCCATTCTTGGTGTGAAGTTTGTCCAAACCAGACTTACCAAACCATGTCTTTGTGGGTCTTGCTTGCTGCTTAAAATTGCAAACTGTTCCCACAAAGTTGAAAACATAGAATTGTCCAAAATGTCTGAGTGCACTGACGCATTAAGATTAAATTAAGATGGATTACACAGCTCCATGGTCGACTCTGTGCTCAGTGATGCAGCCGTAAAAATCCATTTCATGAAGTTCCTGGCCCAGTTTTTGTGTCGATATTAATGCCACAAGAAGTTTAAAACTTCTTAGTTATTGATAAAACAGAGCATTAGTGATTTTTACAACAGTCTGCTCTTTGTTCTCCGACTTCTTGGTTGCTGAAGCTCTTCCACTTTCCAGTAATCCCACTCAACAGGAGCTTTATCCCAGTACCGTTGTTCATATAGCGTACATCTTCGCTTACCTTTAGTGGTTTCTCCCCGTGCAGATGGTTTCATTTACTTCCTGACACCTTCCCATAACTCCACCGGTTGACTAACAAAGCACCATTTCCGTCTCCTCCAGGCGTAAAGAGACGCTGACCATCCGTCAGACTCTGGACAACCTGAGGCTGGACCTGAGTGTCGACGACGAAGACGAAGACCAGCAGCCGGATCAACAAACGAGCAGCGTCACCAAAGTCTAAAACTCTCCCACCACCATATGTAAATACATAGAGATTGTTTTTTTTTGTTTTACATAAACCAGGATATGCCTTTAATTCTGCCACCAGCAGCTTTTTACGGTGAAACTCCTGTAGGTTAGTCGTTCTGTGAAGCTAAACAAACCACAACGTCCACCAGGATCTTTTGTCTTTACTTGTGCCAAAAGATGAAACGTGTCGTGATTTTACGCTGGACGCATTTCCCCAAGAAAAACAAATGAAATATGGTGCTAAGTGGTGGAAGACTGGGCGCTTCCCTGTAGACGACTTTGTTCAACTTACCTGCTCTGAACTGAGTAAAAACTCCATTTCCAACCATATTTCTGGAATTTAGCAAAAAGTTTCACCATTTTGCCACTCGTCGCCCCCTCCTGGTGATCAGGAGGAACTACAACCAATTTCGTATAAAACCGCAGAAGCTCCTGGTGGACTCACGGCCTCTTTAAAAACACAATCAAAGAAACACGTTAAAGGAAACCCTGCTGGTGACGGTTTGATTTCAGGTTCCTTGTAGGTTTTGTTTTCAGGCAGAAGTAATGAATTTTCTACATCGTTCAGTCGCACAAACGCTTCACGGCCTTAAAGTCTCGATGGACAATTACTCCGAACAACAAAGTGAATCCTTTAAATTCACCAGACTTCTCCGGTGTCTTGTATCTTAGCGACTCTTTGCTGACAGCTCTTTCCTGACGAGGGGTTTTCTGCAGTATTCGGTTGTTCACTCTCACAGGGTAACGAAACAAAAAGCAGACCTGCGGGATCACTGAGGGATCTTTGAACGTGATTGTAGCGGTTTTTTGATCCACACATAGGCACGATTAAGAGATTATTTATATTGGATGTGTTGTTTTTTTTTTTGTGTGTGTGTTTTTATGTCGTTTATGTGATTTGAAGATTATTATTGACTTTGCTGTATTTTTAGTTGCTTGTGGGGGGAAACCTTTTAGAGAATGAGATGTTGGATGATTTTAGAGTTCAGTTTCAGGTATTTTGAGGGGTTTTGCTGCTGTATTGATGGAGCTTCCTGTGCCTCACACAGTGTACAGTATACGAGATGTGCAACAACACAGAAGACCAAAAAAATTTAGAAAATCTCACGCTATCGTTCCTGTTGTACAAATTCAGTCAAAAAAAAAAATCTAACTTACGGCACCTTAAACACATTCAGGATAGACGAAAGGTTAAATGTTTACTCGGCACAAACAAACAGAAACCGTTTGAAATGCAGAACAAATGTACAGAAGCGCGTTGCATTCACAAAAAGACGAACAAATCTGTTGATCACAAACTTATGAAATCTTGAGGTTAAATCTTCATAATCAGAATCTGAGAATTTTCAGGTGAATCTGGGGAAAAAAATAACCCATATCACCAATAAACTTCCCCAACTGATGATTTACAAAAAGATTTATTCTGAAATTCTCTGTTTACGTATGCAAATAAGGTAATATACGTATTAAATGTCCTAATTTGCATTCATTTTACAGAACAGAAATCTGAAAATGTGAACAATTACTCTTTCATTTTGTGGATATATTACAGCCAAAGTTTTTTACAGATGGGATTTGAATATTTTATTTTATCACTCCACAAATCTGGGGGGGAAAAAAAACTGTCAACAAGCTCAAAAACATAAATTTTTTACTACGTTTTATGGCATAAAGTGTTCTATAAATGAGGCCATGACTAAGATATGAACAAACCACACATACAGGATATAGATGTGAATAAAAGAGGAGAGTTTGGTGTATATAAGTGGTACAAAAGTGGAGTTATTTGGCTCAGAATATGAGAAAAACAACAATAAAGCTTGAGGTTGGAGAGAAAATGGTTGTAGAGAGACGATAAACAAGATAAAAATCATAATTAATGCCCCATTAGTCATAATAACGAGCTAAATTCTGCCATTTTACTTCTGTGAATGCAATGTAAGTCTGAACGTACGCTCTGTAAAAATCTGTTTCATGTTCCGCATGCTGTTTTAATTTTTGTTGTTTTTTTTCATAAGAAACCCTAAAACAGACAAAAACAAACAGAACCTGGTCATTAAATTCAAATTATCGATAGAAAATTAGAAGCATTTACATGATTCATCCTCCAATATTGGTAATAAAAGTTAATCAGTACTTTACTTTGAAGGAGACTCGCTTCCTCCTTCTGATTGATCAAATTGAACTCTGACAGTCTTCTGCATGTTCGCTGCTCGAAGGACGTCAGAAACATGTAAAGCTAAAAAAACAAATATCCACCTGCAGTTTGAATTCTCTCTCATGTTTACATTTGTTTTGTTCTATTTTTTTGGAAAGAAGAGCACAAATCACGAGTTTTTCTCCCTGAAAGACTGTCGGAGCTCAGCTGTAATTGTGTTTTTGTTTTGTTTTGGTTGATCTTTTCTCCTTACAAAAGGAAATGATGGTATATCTGCAGACATGTATAAATGCGAAGTAACTCACATACAGACTTATTTTTGTAACTATACTTCAACTTCTTACTGGTTCTGCTGTTCTCGGGTATTTATTTTTGTGTTTCGCGTTCTCTCTCTCTGTTTTGGTGAGAAGTTTCTTAGAACAAAATACAAATAAATTCTTCTCTACTGTGAATTTCAGGTATTTGTTGTGTGTTGTTTTTTTACATGAAAAATCCTTTTTCTTGAGACCGTTATCTACTATTTTGGCAACTTGGGTTCTTTTATGCTGAAAAAAAACCATCAGATATAAAGGTGGCTTTTTGTAAGAAAAGCTATTTTGTGCCATTAGTAAGAAGAAAATGGCTTTTCTGCCCATTTGTAAGAGGGCTGTCTGAAGTTATATAAGGAAATGCTTTTATTAGGGTCCGAGCACCCAAAAGGGTGCGAAGACCCTATTGGAACTGCTCGGATTATTATTATTATTATTAGGGTCCGAGCACCCAAAAGGGTGCGAAGACCCTATTGGAACTGCTCGGATTATTATTATTATTCGTGCCAAAGACACGTGTTTTTGAGACCCTAAACATACTCGAAAACTCACCAAAATTGCCATGTACATCAGACCCGGTGAAAAATTTTATAATTTGGAAGAACAATACACACCTCAATAGAAAAATTGCTCCACAGCGCCACCTTCTAAATTGTCAAAAGCACATTTGGCCTAGAGCTACGCAATTTTGTAGGCATATAGAGCAG